TATATATATATATATATATATATACAGTCAACCACAAACTGACGGGAGAACAAAGAAGACTCTTACACTAAGCCATAAACGTACCACGACGACAGATAAAAAAAAATGCGCAATAACGCCGCGGAGAAACTGCTTAGCACCGCCCGTGCTGAGGGTCTCACGATCACCGAGAACGGCTTTGCAGAACACATGGACCAGATCGACCCTCTACAGAAGCACCGTGAGGCGTACCATATTCCCAAGAAGCGTGACGGCAGCGACTATGTGTACCTATGCGGCAACTCACTGGGGTTGCAGCACAAGGATGTGGAGTCCAGCGTTGGTGGGACGATGAAGAAGTGGCGGGAACTCGGCATGCTGGGGCAGTTCCAGCACCCCAACCCATGGTTCGAGTTGGACAGTCTTGGCAGAAAAGAGATCGCAACAATTGTGGGGGCACAGGAAAGCGAGGTCATCACGATGAACTCCTCCAACGTGAACATACACCTGCTGCTCATGGCGTTTTTTAGACCCAAAGGGGACCGGCGAAAGGTGCTGATGGAGACTCACGCTCCCCCCAGCATTACTCACGCNTGCTCATGGCGTTTTTTAGACCCAAAGGGGACCGGCGAAAGGTGCTGATGGAGACTCACGCTCCCCCCAGCATTACTCACGCCATTGTGTCGCAGTTGGAGGTGCGCCGCATGAATCCGGTGGAAGATATCATCTTTGTCAGCGCACCCGAGCATGAGAAGTGGGAGAGCAGCCCGGTGAATATTCCCCTGGAGCAGTTCATCTCCACCATTGAGAAGCGTGGCAACGAGATCGCAGTTATTGTGATGAGTGCGGTGCACTTCATCACAGGGCAGCTCTTTGATATACAGGCCATCGTAAAGGCGGCCCATGCGAAGGGCATCCTATTTGGCGTGGACTGCGCTGATGCTGTGGGGAATGTGCCGTTGAAACTGCACGACTGGGATGTGGATTTTGCGTTCTGGTGCACGTACAGATATCTGAACAGTGGCCCAGGTAACCTCGGTGGCGCCTTCGTGCATGCAAAGCATACAGCGGCTGGCAACGAGATGAAGATACTGCGTGGCTGGTGGGGTAATGACCGGCAGAACCAGATCAGCTTTAACCACAATTTTGAGCCCGCGGAAGGGGCTTCGGCCTTCCAGCTTAGCAACGTGCCCGCCCTCGGCATGATGGCGCTGCTCCCGAGCATCCGCCTCATGGCGCGGATTGGGATAGGTCCACTGCGTGAGAAGTCACTGCTGTTAACATCGTATATGGAGCTGCTGCTGAGCGAGCTTCTGCCACCCGGCCTGATTGAGGTCATCACACCGGTGGACCCCGACCACCGCGGAGCACAGCTGTCGATACGCATTCTGCCAAACAAGTTGGCGTCGGGGCTGGCGGCGAAGGAGGCGTACGAATGCGGCGCTGACGCTGACAGTGATTCGGACCTCGTTGGGCGGCATCTGTACGACAAGGGCGTCATTGTTGACCACCGCCCACCAGATGTGATTCGCCTGGCACCCGTTCCGTTGTACAACTCTTTCATGGATGTGCTCCTCACAGTGCGTGCCATCTCTGAATGTTTTTAGTAGGCGGACGCGGAGAAGTGAGACTGAAGAAGGGGGGGGGGGGGNGGGGGGGGGGGAAGCAAAAAGTGCAAGGAGAAACGAAAAGAAATAAAGAAAAAAAGAAACGGCTGTCGAGGATCAGAAATGAAGGAGCCGCAGCCATGTGCACACCTATGTCTATATACACAAAGGGGGGAGACACACACAGGCGCATGCACAGCCGTATATATATATATATATATATACAAACGTACACATTTTGGGAACTGACAAGTGACGAGGCGGGTGCGTATCTCTCTCTCTCTCTCCATATGTCTGTCTGTGTGCGTGTGAAGGCCGAGGAGGCACTGGGGGAGGGTCGACAGAGCGAAAAAGAAAAGATGGCTTTGTGTCTACATTGAGGGAAAGACTGGACGAGCCAGCGGAGACAATACCGCGCGGCCCTCCTGTGTGCCCAACAGCAACAACGACAAGAGAGAGAGAGAGAGAGAGAGAGAGA